ACTGCAGGACTCCCCAGCAGGGAGGGACACCAAAGGTGGCATTGCAGGACTCCCCAGCAGGGAGGAACAACCTGTGCAGGAATAGGGATGTGAGTGGGGCTGGGTAAGGTCAGCTGGCACTTTGGCAATGACAGCAGCAACTCAGTTGCCCAGAGAAGCTGTGGCTGCCCCCTCCCTGGAAGTGTCCAAGGCCAGGTTGGACATGACTTGGAGCAACTCAGAATAGTGGAAGGTGTCCTTGCCCATGATGTGAGGTGGAACTGGGTGGGGTTTGAGGTCCCTTCCCACCCAAACCATTCTGGGGTTCTGTGTTTCTGTGACCTTGAGGAGGCAGGAAAGGACAATAACTGAAGGGTGTGGAGAGCAGAATTTTGTAAAGCAGGAGTTGGTCTGGGAGCCACTGGCTGGATTGGCTTCAGTGCTATAAGAAGAGATGATTTAGCAAAACACCAGAGAGATGAGTGACCCGTTTGTGTTTCTGGTTTTGTGTTTGTGTCAGCAGGCAAATCCCATTGGTGGTACTGGTCCCTTTGTCACTGGGACTGCTTTGCTTACCTGTGTCCAAGAGAAATCTGTGTGATGACAGGGAGCAGCAAATATTTCCATAAATGCCATCAGTGGATGAACCAGAAGTAGAGAGATTTTTATTTAGTGGACAGAAAGGCTTTTTGAGGGAATTTCAGGGCCTGGTGTGTGTGCCAGGGAAATTAAAGAACTGGGATCAGTGGTATAAAAAGGAATAGCTGAGAAAAACGAGATAAAGACAAAAGCTTCCCATGAGCTGGATAACCAGCCAAATAAGGCTGGAAAGCAAATTTTAGGGAGAAGGGAACTGGCTGAAGCAGTTGCTGCAGTCAGTGTTCAGCACCCAACTGTGCTGGCTCTGGGAGGAAGGAATGCCTTGATGAGATCAGATTCTGATCTGACTAATCTGTTTGCACAGTTCTTTGAACATGCAAAGTATTCTGTAAGTGCAGCTTATGATTAAAAGGGCTCTTTAATTCTCTTTTATCTTGGATGGGAGCATCATGAATATTTTTGTAATTCTATTATGTTAAGCAGCTGATCCAAAGGAACGTTTTATTTGCCTGTAAAACAAATTCCCTGCAAGTTGGGACTCCCATGAAATGAATGATCGTGGAGTTGGACATGGAAACGTGTAATTCAACTTGACATTTTGCAGATGGAAAAAACCAAATCAATTTAGGAGCAGCATTTAAATGTTACCCAGTCAATAAGTATTTCTGGCTTCTGGCAGAGCGAAAATGTGGGTTGTTGGAAATAACTCCCGTGGCCTCTCAAAAGTGACTGTGAGCTCTACAAGATGTGGCTCTTGAAATTGTGCTGAGATAAAAGTCCTTCCTTCAGCATCACCTGTGGGAGAGCTGGGACCTTCTACAGGTGCTACTGGATAATATTCCCAGTTTCCCAAACAGTTTTCTGACCTCTCTTGTTCTGCAGGAGCCAAGCTGGAATAATTTAATCCATAAAACACATCTCATCATGATCTGTAAAAAGGGAAATTATTCCTGAATTGGGCTTTTTGTCTGGTCAATAAAACTTGGGATTTAAGGGATTTGGGGATATTTTACAGACTGGCAGGAAGCCCCTCTGCCATGGAGCCAATGTAATGTTAATTGCAATAATATAATAGTAGTATGTTTTTTACAACTCTGTGCTAAATAAATCAAAATACAAAGCTACCTGTCCTCGGAGAGGGGAGCCCATCTTTCCATAATGGACTTTGGGAGAGATGCCAAAGTGTTTCCTGCAAGGAAAAGGTGCCTTTCATTCAACAGTGGGGGCTGTAAATGCCCCTCCTTGTGCTCTGTGTTCTGGAGACTGAGGGAGAATAAAGCTGGTTTGTGTGTGACACTGGAGCTGAGCTGGGACAGAGAAGGGAGAGAGGCTGAAAATCCACTTTTTTTTAAAGTCAGCTGATAAAAACATAATCTCAGATTTCAGGGAAGCTTTGCTTCTTCAGACAGCTCAGTCTTTGTGAGGCCTTTTCAGAGCAGAGCTGGGGTTGGCTCCTTCAGAAATGAGCAACGTGCCCTGGCTTCTTATTTTGCATTGCAGTGGGGGCTTATTTTAGCTGTAAAAATGGATTTTTAACATGTAGAGGAGCTTGGCAGTTTCAGTGAGGGGGGAAATGCATAATAATTAAGCATCTAAATGTGGTGAATGCAATTGCATCAAATCTTGGTTTTTTGGGCTCTATTTTGCTTCATTTGCAGCTGTTTAGATGCAAATACAAAAAAAAAAAGGATTCTCAAGAATAGAAGAAATAATTTCCCTCACAGAAAATTTTCAAGTGCTTTTGAGTTTTATGCAAATTTTGAGATGTAAGGATTATTGTATACAGGCCTTCAGTTTTCCTTGTTTTCAGCAAGTTTTGGTCCTTGTACTCAGCAGACCTGGAGCACAGATAGAGTTTGGGAGGAAAAGAAGCAGGAGCACAGAACAGGAATGGCTGGAAATCTCCCTTCAGCCCAAATCCTTTTCCTAGTTCATTTACCTGTTTGGTGCTGGCTGTTTTTGCAGCACTTTAGAATCCAAATTTTGTTTTGGCCTCTGTGGAATAATAATTTATTTAAAATTATGTTCTCTTAAAATGCCTTGTCTCGTGCTAAATTGAAAATGTACATTTATGTCTCGTGTCTGAAGAACCTGAACAGGTTAATGCTGGGAGGGATTTATAATATATTGGTGCTAATGACATGTCTTTTTTGTCCCACCCTCCTCCTCCTTTTTTCTCAGGACTATTTTCCTAGTGTTGTTGTTCTCTCAGTATGCCAGAAATGTCAAATTCCCCTTACCCATTTACAAATCCAAGAAAGGATGGACAGCATACAGGCTGCAGCTTTTCAAGATGTTCCCTGTAAGTCCTTGAACTTGTTCTTCACTTGGCAAAGAAAGCCCTGATTTGTGTTTCGGGGGTTTTTTTATCTCAGTTTTGATTTTTCTTAATAATACAATAGATCACAAAGGTGAGGTAAAAGCTTAAATGGATTTATTGGAAACTAAGTGGCTCTTTGGCCACAGGAAATATTCTCATTGCCAGATCCCATTCTGATGTCTGATGAGGGGGTTGTTGGAGTGATGAAGATCATGGAGGGGAGGGAAGAGGGAGAGAAGAAGGGATGTTTGTGGATGCAGGGAAAGCCTAAACTGAGCCCTCCAAAAAGGGATGGTGAGATCGTTATCGTCTCATTTTACCAAAGCAATTCTCAGTTCCCCCGTGAAAGGCTTCTTTTCATTCCTCTGGTAAAACTGAGACTAATTCCTGAGTTTGTTAAAGTGCCCACTTGGAGACTTTCCCATTTGTTAAGGAGAGGAGAGACTTGCTCCAATTCCAGAGCTTTTGTAACAGCACCTTCCTGGGGGGCCGGGGGGGAGCACCCAAAGGATCTGTTACAGCATTTGCTGCTTGTTCAGACCTCAAACCCCACTCGGGTCCGGGGCTGACAATGTTCCACACAGGGACTGTTGGTTGATTATTTGCTGCCGAGAGCTGATTTTAACAGCTCGACTTCTTCTCTCTCCCAGATTATTTTGGCAATTCTGGTGTCGTGGCTGCTGTGCTTCATCTTCACGGTGACGAAAGTGTTTCCCTCGGAGAGGTCCGAGTACGGCTTCTACGCGCGCACGGACGCTCGCCAGGAGGTGCTGCGGGTGGCCCCCTGGTTCAAGGTCCCTTATCCCTGTAAGTTGGGCTGCTCTGAGGGGCAGTTTTCCCAATAATGCCCCTGTTTTTCCAGTCATACCCCTGTGAGCGTCAGTTCTCCTGTTTCAGAAGTGTTGCTGTTTCAGTGATAAATTCCGAGGAACTTTGACAACGGTTGTGGGTGGGCTGTGCCTGCAATTGTCCAAGGCCAGGTTGGAGCAGCCTGGTTTAGTGGAAGGTGTCCCTGCCCATGGCAGGGGGTGGCACTGGATGATCTCCAAGGTCCCTTCCCACCCAAACCATCCCATGTTCTTGCCCATCTCTGGCAGCTCCAGCTCCATCCCACCAGCAGCACTGGGGGTCTCAGACCCTCCTCAGCCCCAGCCCAGAGGCAGCTGAAAGACTTGGGTTTAACCTGTCACTGTAATGGATTTAAATGCCAGGGAGTGGGGTGAGATGGGATTTTGGGAAGGCCCTGGCACAGGTTGCCCAGAGAAGACCTGAGAGCCCTTCCAGGGTCTGAAGGGGCTCCAGGAGAGCTGGAGAGGGACTTGGGACAAGGAGTGGAGGGACAGGACAAAGGAGAATGGCTTCCCACTGCCACAGTGCAGGGCTAGATGGGATATTGGGAAGGAATTCTTCCCTGTGAGGGTTGTGATGGGCTGGGATGGAATTCCCAGAGAAGCTGTGGCTACCCCATTCCTGGAAGTGTCCAAGGCCAGGTTGGAACAACCTGGGCTAGTGGAAGGTGTCCCTGCCCATGGCAGGGGATGGAACTGGTTGATCTCCGAGATCCCTTCCAATCCAAACCATTCCATGATTCCAGCATGCACTGATCTAACAACAGCCATGGGGGGGCTGATGGTTTTTTCTCATTTTCCCCTTTCATTGATACCTGAAGATCTCACCCAAGAAAGGCTTTGTTTCTGACACTGGAGTTTGTAGGAGGCACTTGCAGGGTTTATCTGGGCACCTCTTGATAACATTTTGTGACTTTCCATAAAACGTGGATTCCCAGTCCTTGCTGCTCAGTCCTTGGCAGTGCTGTTGGTGTTGTGCAATGACAAGGTCGTGTTATTTCAGCTCCCGTAGAGCCACTGGAGTCACTGAGTTGTTGTCTAAAGAATCACTATTGTGTGGAGGTTTTCCCAGCTTACTGCACTTCCTTGCCCCAAAGACACCCATCCCTGAATTGGCACAAATGTTAATGACAAAAATGTCCTGACTTGCCAGAGTGGGGTTGGAATTGGGCCGATGGGCAAGTCAGAGAATGCCAGTCCCTGCTTATCAACGGGCAATGAAAGTGTTTACAAGGGAACACCAAACACTTCATACAACAGTTGGATACTTGTATTCTTTTATTGGCCATCTCTGAGTTTAAAGGTATTAAAGGCTGGTTTTATGGCATGAGACAGAGTTACACAACTGGTTCACCTTGTGCTGCTCAGAAATTAAGGGATAATAAGAGAATAAAATAATATAAATTGTTAGGAGTATCACTCCACTGTCATGAGGCAGCTTCGTTGTGGTTTCCCATATGCTTTGGTTCTGATTAGTTCTTAAAAGAAACCACTTCTAAAGCAGAAGATGAAGCATAGAAGCTTTTGGGAAAGAAGAGGAGGAAAACTTCACCGTGATTAGACCTTTCCTATTTGTGAACTTCATTCACGGTTGTGTGATTTCAAGCTCCTTTTGTTGCGAGAGGCTCATCTATTTCAAAGAGATAAAAGCATCGAGGCAATTGCTGTGGAAAACCTGCCAAGCTCTTCTGCAGGCTTAAATTAATCTTATTTTCTCTACTACAAAAGTTTGGAGCAGGGAGGTGTTTGTGCAGTGATCAGAGCTGGTTGTGGCCCATCCTGTTTGATAACCGAAACTCATAACCAAAGGCTGAGTTCTTTGAGCAGTAATAATTAAGTGGCATCTGCCTCACTGACCAGAATTGTTTTCCCACAAGCTGTAGCTCAAATTCCTGCCTTCTGAACAGGAGGAATTCTTTTTGGTGGGGTTTTGTGGTTCTTTGGGACTTTTCCAAGCAGGATCAAAGCAGTTGGTTTGGCGGATTTTCCTTTGCTTCTTTCATCTACATGGACTTGCCAGATTGTGTTTGAGTGAAGGGAGCTTGTTGTTTCCATTAAAGATGCATAAATAGTGTGGCCACGGGCCCAGGGCAGGGACTGTCCCCTGTGCTGGCACTGCTGAGGCACTTTGAATCCTGGGACAGTTCTGGGTCCCTCAGAAGTAGAAGGACATTGAGGAGCTGGAGCATGTCCAGGGAAGGGAATGGAGCTGAGGAAGGGGCTGGAGCACCAGGAGCAGCTGAGGGAGCTGGGGGGGCTCAGCCTGGAGAAAAGGAGGCTCAGGGGGGACCTTCTGGCTCTGCAACCCCCTGACAGGAGGGGGGAGCCAGGGGGTAGTTGGGCTCTGCTCCCAGGGAACAAGGGACAGAAGGAGAGGGAACAAGGGACAGGAGGAGAGGGAACGGCCTCCAGCTGTGCCAGGGGAGGCTCAGGTTGGATATTGGGGAAATTCCTTCCTGGAAAGGGCTGTCCAGCCCTGAGCAGGGGTGGAGTCCCCCTGCCCAGGAAGGATTTAACATCCCTGTGGATGTGGCACTTGGGAACATGGGTCAGTCAGTGGTGGCCTTGGCAGTGCTGGGGGAGTGGTGGAACTTGATGATCTCAGAGATCCTTTCCAAGCCAGACAATTCCATGATTCCGTGAAGTGGCTGTATTTTTTGATACCTGAGTTGTTTTTGGGCAGGGTTGATCTCAGTGTTGTTCTCCCCACAGTTCAGTGGGGGCTGCCCACCATCTCTGCTGCCGGGGTGATCGGGATGCTCAGCGCCGTCGTCGCCAGCATCATCGAGTCCATCGGGGACTACTACGCCTGTGCCCGGCTGTCCTGTGCTCCTCCTCCACCCATCCATGCAATAAACAGGTCTGGCCAAACCAGAAATGTTTGCAGTGTCTTCAGCTGCTTGGGTTTTTGGGTTTTTTTTCCCCTTGGGATAAGACAGGAATGTGCTCCGAGATGAAACGTTACAGTTTGGTCAAACACAAGGGCCAAGAAGCTGAAATACAAGATGCAATTGTCATGTGGAATTATTTTGTTGCAAATGGAGCGTTGGAATCCCAGTCCTGTTCTTCCTGGAGTCTGTGGAAGTTGATAGCATGGTTTCCATAGCGACAGAGTTCTAAATCAGGTCTGGAATTCGGGGTGTTTTGTCAAATTCACCTGAAATGCAGCTGGAGAAATAAAGAGCAGCTCTTAAGTTTGACTTGAATTATGTTGTAGTTTCCTCAGTTTAAGAATGTGGGTATCTAAGACTCAGAAAACAGAACTCAAATGGGTGTTCCAGGTTTGTTGGAGCTGGAAACATGAATTACAATAATTCCATAATGGAACAGATGCCCTGACATCCCCCCTGTAACCCTGAGCCATAAAATACCCTCTGGAGGAGTCTGTGCTCAACAAACTGACTCTTGGTTTCTGTTTGTGGTTTACAGGGGGATTTTTATTGAGGGTCTCTCCTGTGTTCTGGATGGGGTATTTGGGACAGGGAATGGATCCACCTCTTCCAGCCCTAACATTGGTGTCTTGGGCATCACAAAGGTATGTGCTTTGCCTCGAGCTCTCAGGGACTTGCTTCATCTCCTCAGGTGTGTTCCTTACGTTCACGTTTCACAGCATGATCCTCTTCCAGGAAACCATTCTGCTCGTGCAGACAAACTTTACACATCATTCTGAATTCACCTGCCTGTCTGTATCAGCTGTTCTCTGGTGGAAATGCATTATTCTGCATCAGGGCCTCAAAGATCTTTTTATTCAGAGTAAAAGGCAGTTAGAACCTGCAGAAGGCAGATGCTGCCAAATAAACTGTCCCTTGGAAAACCAAGGCAGCATCCCAGGGCTCTGGGGTGGTTTGAGTGAGGCACAAACACTGTAAACTATGTAGAAATTGGTACTTTTTGGATGTCTTGGCTCTGAAGGCATCAGTAGGGAAGTGACTGTTTTTAATGCCTCACTTGAACACAGTAACGTGCAATTTGTGGTCCTTGGGCTTTATCTACATCTGTACCAGGACAGACATCAGTACACTGACACAGACACTGCAGTCAAGGTAATTTGAGAGTTAAATGTACCCTAAATGTTTGTTTTTAAGGCACTGATTAAGGGGTTACGTATTTTTTGGGGTGTTAATCAACAAAATATATTGAGGAATCCCTTTGTTCACATGTGGGACTGGATGAGTGCCTTGAACTGAGAGGCCTTGGGATGCAGAGAGATTTGCTTGATATTGTTAATTTAACCTTGTTAAGAAATACCAGCAACATTGGTAGCAGTAATTTATGTTGTAAATTGGTACATCTTGTTGTGGATTTTGCATGGAAGCCATAAATCCTTCATGCACATGAGGTGGAAAGTGTGTGTTCTGTGCTTCCAATAACTCATCCCTCTGACCTAATACAATATAAATGATATATTTATCTTCACCCATTTATCATCTACCACCATTTGTTTCCTGCACAAAGGATTATTCTGCTGGGTTTAGGATGAAATATAACACTAACAGCACCATCTGCTGTCTGTACCAGTTGCCATTCAGCTGCTGATGGAAATTTCCCAGAAGAAATTTTAGTCAGAAAAATCCTTAAAGAAAGGTTTATTCTGTTCTGCTTCCTTTCTGGTGTTATTCATGGGGGCTGATATGAATTAACAACACTTTTCTATTAACAACCCACAGAAATGAGTGGGCATTTTGCTTTGGGACAGTAAAGAATGAATGTTTGATGGCAGCTGAAGCAGGGTTGACCACAGTTAGTCTGTTCAGAGCATGTGGTGGAGGAGTGAATGTGCCTTACCCAGAGTGGCACAGCTGGATGGCTCTGCTCCAGTGCTTCCTCTGGCTTTCCTGCCTGCACACTCATTCCTAAATTCCTAACGGTATTTCAACTTCATTTCTGCCTAAATAGATTTTTGGCATGTGGATACTCTGTTGTTTTTGGGAGGGGAAAATCCTTAGTGCTGCATCATCCTGGTGATCCCATTCTATCATTTCAAAAGGCATTTACCCTCCTTGAAATTGGTATAGAATGACACTTAGAACTTAAATTTCAGGCTCCAACTGGATGTAAATACTGCACAATCTCTGAGCTGGTCTGTGAGTTTTATTTGATTAAGGGGAGCATCAATTAACTCTGATCAGTTGGGGCTGAAGTCTGGGCAGCTCATGCCATAATGGTGGTGGGGAACTGGAGGTACCAGGTCCTACCTCGTGCACTCCCAGATAATCACCCTAAATGTGTGTGCTGGGAGTAAATATGCAGGCAAAGTGCTGCCCAGGGGGTTTTCAGGAGCTTTCCAGAGGAGCTTAATTTGTTTGCCTTGCAGTGATTGAGCATTTGCATAAATAAGTGTCACCAGCATGTGGGTCTCTAAAGAATTTGCCTCTTTCATGCAGGAAGATAATTTTAGAGCAAGATATTGGTGATACTCTATTTTAGAGCAAGATATTGGTGCCCCTAAGGAAATTAGTGTCTTCATAAGGTAGAGAAAGGTGCAAGTTAAACTCTGTTGTAATTTAGTGAACTCCCCAATTTGCTGGTGTAGCTCCTGTTTGCAGGTGAACAATCCCACCTGAGAGCTCAGCAGTGAGGAAGGGGGGGAGAGAAGGACCATTTTTCAGGCCTGCTCTGTCTTGTGTTTCTCATTTCACTCATTTAGCTCAGCCACACCTGGTCAACAAATTAATATCTCCTTCGCTTTGAACCTGAACACTCTGTACCAGGAGACCTGCAAAGGGCTTTGCCAGAAATCACCTTACAGTGTAAAAAGGGTTTTTTTTGTCCCTGGGGCACCTCTTCTGGCACTGGAACAGTGTTAAAATATCAACTGTTCAGGTTCTTCATCTACCACTGCAACACAGACAAATACTGCCTGAAGTTCGGATGCTTAAAATAAAACTGGGAAGGAAGTGCAGGCCCTTGGTTTCAGTGTCAGCACAGCCCTGATTTGCATGTGGGGTGAACTCAGTCCTGGTCTCAGAGGGGTTTTGCAAAACCTTGGTAATGTCAGCTTAGAAATCCCACTCCTCTTTCACCTCATCCACATCTCACTGTGTCAAAGGGCAGCAACACATGGAATTTATTTGTTCCATTTTCCATCTCTCCCAGGTGTGGCCTCTCTCTTCTTGCTTTCTCTGTTGTAGCTGGGCCTGCACCACATTTCCTGGTGGTTGTGCTGTAGCATTTACACGTGGTTTTAGAGCTGGCTTGGTGTTACCAAAACCCAAAGTAAAGCAAGTTCTGTTAGGCTGGAGCACAGCCCTGTCCCAGCTGGGCCCTGCAGCCTCTGAGCACCATCAAAAACACACAGGAAGCTCGAGAAGAAATTTAATTGAAAAGGAGGATAACAACATAAATCTCCAGGTGTGAAGCTGGACCAAGTGCAGACTTTTTCCAGTGTCTTTTCCTTTTTTCCCTGCAGGTTGGGAGTCGCAGGGTGATCCAGTATGGAGCTGCCTTCATGCTGCTCCTTGGGATGGTTGGGAAGTTCAGTGCCCTCTTTGCATCCCTGCCCGACCCTGTGCTGGGGGCTCTCTTCTGCACCCTCTTTGGTAATATGGACTTTACTCCTCTTTTGCACTCTAATTCTGTGTTCATATGTATTTTTCTATCTGTTTTTGAAGGAAAAGCCTATCTAAAAGCTGATCTTTGGGGTTTTTTTTTCTGTAGGGATGATTACAGCTGTGGGTCTGTCAAACCTCCAGTTCATTGATTTAAACTCCTCTCGGAATCTGTTTGTCCTTGGATTTTCCATTTTCTTCGGGCTTGTCCTCCCAAGTTATCTCAAACAGAACCCCCTGGTCACAGGTACGTGTTCCTGCTCACCCACACAAAACCTGCTTTTCCCTTCCACTGGCATGGGAAGTCCAAACAGGTACAAAGGAATGGAAAGGTCAGTAAGAGAAAAACCAAAGTATTTGGAGACAATAAAAGCTGTAGATACAGATAAGCTTTATATGTGTGTGTGTATATATATATATTCTCTGAAGAGAATTAGTTAGGATGTTGAGACCTGAATTAAATGTTTCAGTGGGATACAACTGAAGTTTTCCTGCTTTTTCTTGGTACTCCATAGAGCAATGAAAGGGGGCAAACACCAGGAAAAAAAGACAAAAAGGGTGAATCTGAGATGTAAATGACGTTAAAAGACTAAGGGGAAGCACCAAGGTAGAGTTTGGGAGGGAGGGATTTTTTTAGGGTGTTGAATTTTTTTGTCACTGCAGACACATGTTCTGAATGGGAATTTTAATTTTAATGAACTCCAGGCTGTTAATCAAATTGTAGCTTAGGGGAATCCATGGGGAGGGTTTTCTGGTTTAGTATTCCCTCTCAGCAGTGATCATGACATCTTGTGTCATCAGAGATGGGCTCTCTAAAGGAATATTTCACTGGTTTGGGGTGTTTTTAAAGGAAATATTAACTGACAGTATTTAGCTGTCGCTTCAGACCCAGATTGAAGGGCATATCTGTCCTACTTTAAGTGGTTCACAAAGCAGATCATTCAGGCAGAGGTGGGTGATCACACACTAATAGAATGTTCTGCCATGAACTGGCGTTTTGAAGTCTTGCCCTTTTAAAAAGTAAAGATTTATAAAAAGAGTTACTTCAGTCCCACACCGTTTTACATTTTGGACATTTCTCCATTTTATAGTTTTCTAATAATAAAAAATATATATATAAAAAATCAATAGTTTAAATTAGCTGTGTCTGCAGTAAACTCTCAAATGGTGTTTTGTGACATTTTTATGAGCAACTGCAAGTTCATGGAGTTACATTTTGGGGCAGAATGTCCCATGGGGGCTGTGTTAGGTGAAGGTTCTTCTGCATTAATTCCCACATGTTTTCCAGAGTCCTGTTCGAACAAATCCCTCACTGAACTTGGCAGGATGTGTATATGCCTGATAAAAATGACCAAAGGTCTGTATTTGTGCCTGTTTTTTGCAGGAATAGCAGGAATTGATCAGGTGCTGAACGTCCTGCTCACCACAGCCATGTTCGTGGGGGGCTGCGTCGCCTTTATCTTGGACAACACCATTCCAGGTCAGCACTGGGTTTGTCCTTATCCTGAGCAACAGCTGCCTTTCTGCAGGAACAGCATTCCTGGGAGGCAGGGGAGCAGGGAGACATCCCTGCTTTTGCTGTTCCCTCCTCACACCTGCAGCCTGGCTTTCCCTGAGAACCCCCGGAATCCTTTCCGGGCTGAGGCCTCTGTCCTATAAACATCCCAGAGAGCTGATCAAAACCAACCCGCAGCAGTCTTCAGAAGGCAGAGAAAACTGTTTTAAGATCCAAACCTGCTCCATTCAAGAGGAAAAATTTGCTCTGACTTCCACTTCAAAAATTAAACATCGTATTTTTTTCCCTCTTCTGCCTTTCTGAGGAGTCTGGAAGATCTTTTCAGAGCTTTGCTGAACGTGGTGGCTGAGCCTTGAGCTTTTCTTCCTTCTTTTAACCTCTGCTTTATTACTTGTGTGTACACATAAAGATATCCAGGAATATATATCTTTTTTTTTCCCCCTTTTGTTTTGCCTTCTAGGAAGCCCTGAAGAAAGGGGAATACGGAAATGGAAGAAAGGGATCGGGAAAGGAAGCAAATCTCTGGATGGCATGGAAACATATGATTTGCCTTTTGGCATGAACTTCATTAAAAAATACAGGTGTTTCAGCTTCCTGCCCATCAGCCCCACCTTCATGGGATACACGTGGAAAGGCTTCAGGAAAAGCAGTAATTGCAGGAGTTCAGACGAAGACTCAGAAGCTACAGTATAGCCTTAGTTGAAATTATATTATCTAGTTGTAGTAAAAGATGTATTTGCAGTTTCTTGCTGATTAAGAAGCATTAAAATATATGTTTTGTATATCTGCATTTAAATTCTGGAACCAGAGCTGAGACAGATTTAAAAAAAAAAAAAGAAAAAAAAAAAAGAAGAAGAAGAAAAAAAAGGCTTTTTCTGTTGTGGGTGGTGGGAGCCAGATCTGGTGTCTCTGGGGCAAATTCCAGGGGTTTGGGGGAGTTGTAGTACCTAAGTCTGTTTATTTTAAATGGGTTTAGGTCCTGGAAGTGTGTAGGTGCTGTTGAAAAACTTTAATTAACTTAAATTTTGATTTTATTGGAGCCCTCAGTCCTGGCACTTGGCACAGTCATTGCTGGCAATGTTGGTTATGCCAGGAAATCTGAATCCATGGGAAGGGAGGGGGTAAAGAAAAGAAAAAAGGAAAAATAGTTACTTCTAGTCATGTCAAATCCCATAGATCTTGTTTTTTACTCCCTGATTTGCACATTCCATATTTGCAGTACCCTGAAAACTGGATTCAGTTGATAAAGGCAAATCATGAAAGTATTGTTTTGAATTATCCACAATTCCAGTGGCACATCCAGTGCTAAGACAGGAAGTTTCTGCACTAACTTTGCCCATGAAAACCAGGACTGACTTCTGCTGGCTCAGTGCTGCAGGAGCCACTTCTTTCACACCATTTCTCGTTTTCTGAACGTTTGCTTTTTCCACCTGGGATTCCCCCAGCTAATCCCAGTGTCCAGGATTTCCACCCAGGGACACGTGGCTGGAGTGTTACAGGGATGGGAAACTTGAACTTCCAGACAGGACTTGGTGGTTTTTTAGTCCAGTGCCTGCATGCAGCAAGATGTTTCCCAGACAGCAAGGGCAATGAATTGAGCAGTTCAGCAGTTAACCCCTGTCTCTGTGCAGGGAATGCCAGTGGTGGGAATGCTGCCTTGGATCTGGGCACGAGGTTTTTATGGGATATCAACAGCTGATGCTGCACGAGCAGCTGACGTCGCTTTGCCTCTTCCTTCTCTCCTTGTGGGGCTTGTCCAGAGGCTCATTCCTGCTGGGAAGGGGGTTTGGAATGGCAGAGACACTGCATCTGGCGGCCCCACCCACGGATGGTTTCACGGGTATCGGGTCCAATCAGGGCACCACTCAGAGATTTTTTTTTTCCTGGAATAGTCTCAGCTCTGATGTTTTGTGGGTGTTCACGCTCATCATGCATTCATAATTAACAGTTTTATTCCTGTTTAATGTTCTTACTATTGCAAGTTAGTTTTAGACTTCAGTGTGGCCCCAAAAAGCATTTTCAGCTGTGGAATCATCAGGGAAATGTCGTGTAATGTAATTTCAAGGCCAGTAATGCTCTACGGTGCTTGCGTTTTGTATTCCTGGAAAACCATAACAGTGGATCCTGTAATTCCCTGAGATATTTATCAAACTTTGACTACTGGACAGGAGCGCAGGAACTCTGTTTTCTCTGCTTCCAGGTTGAATTTGTTCTGGGTTTTTGAAGCATGGAGGGGTTGGGGTGGGAGGGCAAGGCAGGAGCGTGACGGATCAGTACTGAGTAGTGTAGAGTCGGAATGATTCCGTGGATATTCTCAGCATGCCATGGCTGTTTCCAGAACCTATTTTATCCCGCTTTTTCCATATCCAAGCATGCCTTTGTTCCTGCTTCGGGGAACTTTCAGTAGTTTGCAGTCTCGGTGTCAGTTGGGCTGTCTCGAAAGCTGGTCAGAAGAGTTGTTGTGTAGTAGACGAGGTTTGTTTGCCTGTGAAACAAAGTCATTTTTCCTCATTTTTTAAACTTTCCCTCTCCAGGTAGTCAGGTGTTCTATTCCCACGTCCACCTGCACACAGTTGGAGTGCAGACACCTCTGATCAGTGGCACGAAGCTTCCAGATTTCCCAACTTTTAAGTTCAACCAAAGACGTGTGTGAGACGTGGGGGAGTTAAAAATACATATAACAAAGGAAAACAAAAGCCACCTCTGGTGGTTGTACAACCCAAGGGGTTGTGGTGATGTAAAATGCCAAAGTTGATTATCTTGTAAAAGTTGAGAAATGGAGAAAAAAACCTTTTTATTTCCAGTGGTGCCACTTCAGAGCAGCTGAGCTGCCCCATCCAGCGGCACGGGAGGGACACCCCTGTTCCCAGGCTTTCCAACTCCTCCCCCAAGCAGTTTGGAGAACTTCAGAGAGAGGAGGTGATGAGAGGTTTGTCTCCTCTCACCCTGGCTGAGGTCAAGCCATGTGTGTTCTGTGTTGCCTCACCTGGGATTTGCCAAGACACTTCAAATTCCAGGGCACTGAATCCAGGGGGAGTTTTCCTCCTCCCTGGAGCAGAACACTCCTTTCCTGCAGCACTGGAACGACTCCCTGAACAGGTGCAGTCCAGTTCTGTGTTCAGCTGTTGGGTTTTGTTCTCTTGGTGACTTTGGGCCCTCCTGTGCCCGTTCCCCCCTGGCTGAGGGCAGGGAACACCGAGGTGTCCCGCAGGGAACACCGAGGAGCAGTTGAGGTTCTGGTCATTTTTGTAACCCTGTCTGTCAGTTGAGGACTCTCCACCTTATCCCGTGGGTGAATGGTTAAAGGTGGGCCTCAGGTTGGGAAAGGAGACCTGCTGGAGCCCCTGGGATGTGCAGGGAAGGGTCAGGATGGAGCCAGAGGCAGCACCTGGAGTGACCTGGGCTGAGGTGAGTGAGGACGGAGCTGTCACAGGTACCTTGGGAAGAGAAGCTCCCTTTTCCCTTCCTGAGGCACCTGGACCCCACCAGTGCTGCCAGTGCAAGGAGACCCGTTGCTTTTCCTTGTGAGGGAAATAACTGAGTTTCCCCTGGGTTTGTGCAGCTGCAGCAGGTGATTTTGGGCCTTAAACCCTCCCATGGCCACTTTTCTTGGTCACTTTTCCACCCCAGTGGCTGCTGTGAGATTCCAGGGGAGCTGGGTGCCCATCCTGAGCTGCTGAAAGGTGTGTTGGAGGATTAAGCTGCAGTTTGGAAAAGCATTTAAACACCTCATGTCGTGTTTGCTGGTGACATCCAGATGTAACCTGACTGTCAATGCAATACTGTATTTTCCTCTCTGTTTTCTTCCCTGCCTTTCAAACAGCCAAACTCCAACCACCCAGGGAAGGCAACACCTGAGAGGTGAGTTAAGAGGCGATGAGATGTTTCAACCATAAGAGGGAAGGGCAAATATTCATGGTAGAAATATCATTTTGTCATATCAAAGGTGGCATCAATGTATACAAACAAAGTAACTTGGGATTTTTGTAATTGATATTCTCTTGTATTTTTTTTAGGTTAAATTAAGGATTCTTGCTGACATGTTGAAACACGTTTTCTAAAGCAAATACTTGCAAATTATACCTATAGAAATTTAGGTTTCGTAGCTGCCGGCTGTGGCTGACTCACGTTGTCATATTAGAGGGACTTCACCTTGTACCTCGCTCAGAAAGTTCAACCTTTTAAACCCCAAATTTGCTTTTATGCCTTTTAATACTGACTTGAAATATGACAACTTGGTTTGTACATGAATATATTGCAGTATTTTATTTCCATATATTAAAAATAACATTTCCACTCAGGATAACGGCGGCGCTTTCCTGGGAGGGAGTGGTATGAGTGTCATGACAATGTCATGTGATGGTAGAATTTCTTCATTGACGAATCTATAGTGGTTGTGTATACTTTATTTACCCATGTTTGTGTTCCTACCCAAAACTGAAGGGTTTTCTTGTTCCTTTCCCCACTGAGCCCTCGGGGCTCCCGGTGCACAATTGGCGCTTGCACAGAAAACCCTCCCCGAGGAGCATCAGTGCGACCCCTCATTGATACATTTATCCTTCCAAAGTGTGGAAATCACATCATTCTGGGTATAAACAGCACTCCAGGCACACATGGCCCCAAACCCCTGGTGTCTGATGGTTTGGGTGAGCCTTGGCTGCCTCCACCCACCCCAGCTATGCTCGATAGAATCAATCTCTTGGTGTGTAAAACGCGCGTGTGAGACCAGCACGACCTTCACGTTTCTTTTCCGTGGCCTTTTGCAACCAAAAGCGACTTCTCTTTCCTTTTTCCTTGATTTTTTTGGAGCAAGGGGGGCTGTGGCTCACTCTTTTTTGCAGAGAGGTCCCACCTGGGGCAGGTTTCTCTGTGTTTTTGGAGGCTCACAGGCCCCTCAGGGCTGTGGAGCTGTGGGGTTGGGGAGGCCACGAGTCCCCAGGGTCTCCCTGGGCTGCTCCAAGTGTTGGGATCCGTGTTGGGAGCCATCCCGAGTATCCCTGGCTGGTTCCCATTTGCCTGTGGCTGTTGCCATCCGTACCTATGGATATCAGAGGGAAATCTCGACTTGCCTTGTGTACTCTGGCTTTTCCTCCACCTTTCCAGGTCAATCATCTTTACTGCCAGTCCAAATTCTTGTATTTGTCTGTTCATAACAACCTTTGGCGTAACAAACTATTGACTGTTCTTAGGCAGTGGGGATAAATTTTCTTTTTCCATAACTTTTTGTGACTGACTTTGGCTGTAAAACTTTTTTTGTTAAACAGCAAGAGTTTATTTGGGAGGGGGGGTGGTGTTGATTTTTTTTTTGTTGTTGTTGTTCCAAGATGTGTAATTCTTTTATGGAGTTTTGGTTTGGGTGTTTTTGTTTTTTTTTTTGTTTTTTTTGTTTGGGTTTGGTTTTTTTTTTATCTCATGGTTTGTTTGGGTTTTTTTTTTCTAACATTGCTTCATTAAACAACTAAATATTTAAAAATGTAATATTTGGACCAGATGTTGTGAATAATAGTAGATAAAGCTATTTTATTCTGTATTTTTAAAGCTGTTCAGTATAAATAAACGCGGGCATAGATGCAACGTGGTGGTGTTACAGTTCCTTTTAAACATCCCTTTTGATGGAGAATCATGGAATTGGAGAATCCTGGAATGGTTTGTGTTGGGTGGGACCTTGAAGCCCATCCAGTGCCACCCCCTGCCGTGGGCAGGGACACCTTCCACCAGATCAGGTTGCTCCAGCCTGCCCTTGAACACTTCCAGGGATGGGGCATTCTCTGGGAATTCCATCCCAGCTCCCCCCCCCATCCTTACAGGGAAGAATTTCTTCCTAATTGAGAATTGACCATTTGGGAATCCAGGTGATGGGGAGACCCAGAATCCCTTTGTAGCAAGTGCCACCCAAAAATACAACCCCCAAGCACCTTCCTGAGCCTTCCAGCTCTCAGCCCCCAGCTCATGCCACATGGACACGTTGCATTCCTGGCTTTATTGGGAAGAGGCTCTTCCTGCCCATTCCTCTCCTTATTGTCCATCCCTGATTTCAGTTCAGGTGCCTCCAGGGTCTCCCCCAGTGCTGCTGAACCAGCCGAGTGTCCCCTTGGCTCATCACCAGCTTTTAAATGAAGCTGAGAGCACCTCAGCTCCTCCCCTGCCCTTAAATGAACTCATCTGGTTCCTCTGCAGCTCTGCTATTAAATTCCCAATGTTATCCCAGAGCAGCAGCACTGCCTGTAATGGATCAGGGGCTGGAAACATCCAGCTGAGGCACCTTCAGGTGTCTGTCGGCCTTTTGCAGGAGCTGCTCCTGCTTTGAGGGGAATGAAGACACCCAAGTGCTTTCCCAACTTGGATGTAGCCCCTGGTGATGAGTCCAAAAGTGGTGGAGTCAGATGGGAACTAAAATGGCCAAAAGTCACCCAAATTGGCAGTGAGAGCAGGGGAAAGTGGATTTGGGATCAGAGCCAGTGGAGCAGCTGTGTGACCAGGGCAAGGGATTTCTCATCACTTCAGGTTTGGGTCTGTGATGAAAACCCCTCTGATCTTAATCCTGACTAATCCCCTGTGCTGCTGGATCAGAGCTGAGGGAATAACTGCGTTTTCTCCTTGTGTTTTGCCCAAATCAACATTCGACATCGACCCACGGAGGGCTTTATTTATCTGGGGCAGAATCCCAGAATTTGAGGATTTTCAGAACGACTGAAACACCTTCAGACAGGGCCAGCAACTGTGTGTCAAAGAAAACCAGTTCAGGTCCAAGGAAAGGCTTTTCCAGAGCCACATCTCTTCCCATCTGGTTCCCAGAGGCTCTGTAAGAGCTCCCAGATGCTTCCACACAAACTTGCATCCAAGTGTGTAATATCACTCAGCATTTACTGGCGATCAGCTCGGGGGGCTGAAAGCTGAAATAATGGGAAGCTGCCAAGGTAGCAAGGAAGGGATTTGGGGTGTTTGCTCAGTCCGGGAGGAAACAACTGAATCTGGGAGAGTTTTGGAGCTGGTGCTTCATGCTGAGGCCTGACTGAGGTCCTTGGTGGGAGCAAATCCATCCAAGATGACAGTTTAAAAGGCATCAGCTGCGATCCCTGTGTGGCATTTGGCACAGAAATTCAGGATTCAAGGAATTCACCTTGCAGAACAGGTGCTGCAGCATCCCTGTTTGCCTTTTCCTGGGAGATTTTCAGCAGCCTGGAGGGATGCTCAGGCTCTGGGGGGATGGAAGCTTTGGTCTCTTCCATGTGGATTTGGTTCCACATGTATTTGGTTCCTCATGGATCCGTCTCATGCTTGTCTGTGGATAAGGAGGCACTGCCAGCCTGGCCCAACCTCTCACACTGCAGGGTGTCCACACAGCAGGAACGGGTCAAATTCCTTATCCTTGATAACTAAATCCCTCTATCCAGTCTCGAGCCTTCCCAACCCACCACAGCACATCACAAAATCAGGATTTAACCCAAATTTGCAGCCAAATCCCCCTGTGCTCCCACAGGTGCCCACACCAAACCCTCTGTTTATTTTTACTTTTCGCTCCCTGTGCACCCAGCCCACAAGCTGAGGGTTGGTAGAAGCCTCTCTTTGGGGTGAAACCCCTGGGGTTTGGGGCCAGGGCTGGCTCTGCTCCATTGTGAGCCTGGCCCGGCTCTTCCCACGACAAAGGGCCTCTGATCCTGCCAGCCCCGAGATGCTGCTGGAATATCAATCCCGACCAGCCTGGCTCACTTTCACCGAGTCAGTGCTTCCTCAAGCCAGATGGCTCCTCCAGAACTTCTCATGTTTTACATACAAATCCAAGAAAACGGGGGAAAAAGGCTGATTGCAGCCCATGCCTGCAGAGGCGCCTGTTTGGCTCAGGCAGCTGCTTAGATTATTTCTTTGTTTTGGGATTTTTTTTCCCCCTTCGTGTGGGCTGTTTCTAGGCAAATTCCTTCAAAAGAAAAAAAGCCCAGAGAAGCCACACGGCACTGGGAAAGGTCAGGAGCAGACAAAGGAGGAGGGACGTGGCCGCTGCTCCTCTGGAATACTGAATACCCCCAAACTCCCCCGACGTCCCCCCGCGGTGCCGGGGCCGGATGGGCAGGATGGGACCCCCATCCCGGGAATGCTGAGCACCAGTTCAGAGGTAACTGTGACCCCCAGCTGCAACAGCTGCTTCCAGGCAGATTTTATTTGAATTTTTTTCCTCCCAAATCCCTTTCCCGGGGGTGGTTTTGGATCCAGAGGGGATCCCACGGCCGTGGCTGGGAACCAGTGCACGGCTCCATCGCTCCCTCCCGGCAGAACTGCAAAGGGCGATGCCTGCCTGGCTCTGGCACTGGATATCCCGGGGCTTGGGGCATTTTAAGGCAGAAATAACCACTTTAGCCTGCGTGATACAGCCCACAAGGCTCCTTCTGGGAATTCTGCATAGAGCTGGAGCTCTGTAAGAGCGTTTCCAGCCTGGATGCGTGGGATGGGGATTCATTTGGAATCCTGCTCCTGGCAGCGGGGATGGAGCATCCTTTGGGATCCTGGTCTTGGAGCGCAACCCAGGTGTCAGAAGCGCGTCCTTTGAGAACCCAGAGCCCGAGCCAGGGATGCGGGACGGAGCATCCTCAGGGATTCCGGTCCGCGCGGGGACAAACCGGGCACCTGAATCCTTCGGGTTCACCGGCCCTGGTCCCCGGAAAGGGATCCCGGAACCGGGCTGTCCCTTGGGATCCAGGTTCCGGGATGACCCTGGAGCCGGAGGGGGGGTGTCCCCCGCGCTCCCACCCCCGCGCCCCGCCCGCGCCCCTCCCCGTCGCGTCCCGCCCCTCCCCGCCCAGGGGCGGCCCTTGGGGGGCACCGGCTGCGGAGCGGGACCGGCACCGGCACCGGGTGAGTGCGGCTGGGATGGGGCGTCTCCATGCTCATCCTCACCCCCACCCCATCCTCCATCCCCATCCCCATCCCCGTCCCGCGGGGAGCGGCCCCGGGGCTGAGCCGCGGCCTCGCCACGGCCGCGAGCGGAGGAGGTGAAAGCCGCGCTCGCCGCGGGGAGCGGGGGCGTATCCGGCCCCCCAAACCCCGGGGGGACACCTCGGCATCCTCCGCGCACTCTCAGCATCCCCCTCCGTGCTGGGGCCGCCGGAGCCGCAGCGCCCGCGGGTCCCACCCCGGGCACGGCACCTTCGCCGCGGCACCGCCGGGACCCGCCCGCTGCGGGTCGGTAGCCCAGGACGAGCCCTTGGTGGCCACCGGCTCCGGCCGGGGAAGTCCGACCTGCTGAGTGTGCAGTGGGTCCCTCGCCCGTCCCCGAGTGCCCCCCCACCCCGGTTGCACCGCCGGCTGTGCCAGCGCTCAGCGCTCCCCTCCTTTTCCCCCTTTCCCCTTCCAGGACGGAGCAATTGGGCTGGAGAACAATAGCGGCGCTGGAAAACAATGGAGCCGCCGCACCTTGGCGCGTAGGGATGCGGGAAGGACGCGGGGAAGGGATCCCAGCCCCGGAGTAGCGCCTGAGCCGGAGCCCCCAGCACCGGCACAGGGAGGATCAGCGGGACGGGGTGAGCGCTCGGCCGTGTCGTGTCCTGTCCTGTCCCGTCCTATCCCATCGTACCGCTGAGCAGAGCCTGGTGGAGGCTCCCGGGAGGAATTGTCGCCTTCGGATGATGCTTTGCTGCCGATCGCGGCGGGATCGAAGCGCCCTTGGGCCGGGTAAAAGCCGCCCCGGGCTGCGGGGACGCGGCGGGGTTTGTGCGGGAGGGAATATCGTGGCCTCCCCGGGGACAGGGATATTCCCACAATCCCTCGCACGGCCGGGGGAGCCTCAGCTGCGCCAAATCCGCCTCGGCGGGATCGGCCGGGGATGCAGCCAAAGCTTCCGTGCGCTGCCGGGGGGGACCAAACAGCACCCCCACCCCCCCAAAATGCTGATTTCTTTGCAGGAACAGGGTCGAACATCCCTCTCCTGCTGAAAACACAATATTGAGGGGGGTTTTCCTACTTTTCCGCTTGTTTTGTTGTTGTGTTTGAGTTGTGAATCTCCCTGGGAGCTCGGCAAAAGTGAGAGCTCACCCCTTCTCCATGTGAGGGGCTGGGAGCATGACCAGTCTCCCTCTGCCCCACGGGGCACTTGGGGCTGTAGGGATGTGGGAAGGGGCTTAGGGAGGTAGTTTTTAGGGAGTGGAATAAGTCTGGGGGCCGTGGGGTGGGCCAGGCCTGAAAGCACTGGCAGGAGCAGCTGGTGCTGGAAGGCAGAGAGGGCTGAAATCCTCCTGCCACGGGGGCAGGGCATTGATTTATCTGCTGGTGGTTTAAAAGCACTTTGTGAGGCCTCAACAGAAGCTCAGCCTGGGCAGGGACGGGGGAAATGCGTCAGCTCAGGGTGGGGAAACTGAGGCCCAGCGGGGCCGGGGAAGGGGCTGAGCTGCCCTGGCCGCGCAATTGGGCAACTTGCACTTTGGCAGCCCTTCTGCTGGGGGCATTTCCAGCCTTTTGCCAAAGCTGGGGGGGAATATTGGGGGCTCAGCAGTGGCTGCTCTCTGGCTGGGTCTCTGTTCCCCTCCACCCACCTCCCAGAGCTTCTCCAGACCCAAAAAAGGAAGAATTTGCCCCTTTCCTGCTGCTCGGAAGGGGATGTGATGACGGAGGCGAAGGTGGCAGCGCCGGGGCGTAAACAGGAAACAGGATCCTCAACACAGGAGGATGAATCTGCCTTTTGGAGCTCCCCTTCCACCCCAAAATGTGCTTTTTTTTATGGCTGGAGTTCACCCCCTGTCCCCTTCAAGGATCCTGGGATTTGGCTTTGCCCCTTTGCATTGCTGTGATGCTCCAGACTGAACCTCCCTAACCCTAACCCAAAGGGCTGTGCTGCTGTAGGAGGGGTTTTTTTCAGCCACTTTTATTTTTTTTTCAGCCAGTTTGATATTTCTGGCACCAGTTTTGCATGAGCCAACAGCCCTGTCCTTTAATCCTCCCGGGACATCTCCAAAGCTTTACCATCCGCTCTCAGGGGACACCCCTGAGATCCTCATTCCTGCCATTCCTGCATCTCACAGGTGCTGAACCCCAAATTTGGGTCCCCACAAGCACTGACATTTGTCCCAAAACCTTGAAGCTGGCTACAAAATCCCTTCCCACTCTCATTTCTGAGGGATAAATAGGATTGTTGCTGGGTTTATTCCCTGTGGGAGGATGGATGGATGTGGAGAGGTGGCTGCCAACCACAGGAGGAGGGTTTTGCCGGGTTTTTCCAGGTTTTCCCAGGGTTCTCCTGTGGCTCCTCAGGAAACCCAAAGCTCTGTCAGCCCTTCCACTGCCCCACACGATTTTTCAGTGCTGAGTTTCTCTTCTGCTTTTTCTCCAGGACCGGAGCAGCTTCCTGCCCTTCCCCTCCTGCCCCACCTCCAGCGTGGCCTTTGCAGCCTCTTCTGGGGTTTGAAACATGCCAGGGAATATCTTTTGTCATTGCCAGTCATTTATACGCTGGGATTTATCCCCACTTCAGGATTGCTGCTGGTTTTAGGGGCAGGTTCATCCTCCGACACAGGTTTTACCACAGGGCCTCGGCTGAGCCATTTCTCTGCCTGCATTTGTTGTGGGGTTGTGTGTTTTCCTTGCAGGAAAACGGGGTTGTTTCCCAGGGGGCTGGGAGGAAGCACATGGTGATGTGGGAGGTGGAAGAAAACAGGGGTTTGCAGAGTAGAGGCTTTTATTCTCGCCTCGGTTTTTCTTTCGGGACAAGGGAAGGGAGTGGAGAGACCCTGGAAAAAGGGAAGCCCGTCTGTAGGGGGGTGGCACAACAATCCAAGGAAAAGCACGGCCTGAGAAGCCCTTTTTCATCATTCAAAACTGCCCCAATGCTGCATTTCAAGGTGTCTCTGGTGCCCCATTTCCACAGTGCTCTGAGTCCTCAAGTGCTCCAAGGTCTTCATCCCAAGGCCCATTTTAATTCCCCTTCACTGTGTCCAAAAATCACTCTGGAGATCTAAGCCAGGGCCAGTCCCAAGGCAGCATTTTTATGGGACTTTCCAAGTGTTTTGCACAAGAGCAATGGAGCTGTTTTGGCACAAATATCCAACTGGTAGCATTAAAAAAACCCCTGAAGGACCAGCCCAGCATCTCTGGCTGCTTGGAAAATCCCCCCCTGTGGCACCACCGGGTTTGGGATGGCACAGGGAAGCAGCAGCCAGGTCCAGACTTCAATGTCCAAAGCCTTGCAGAATAAAATAATAGTAAAATAAATACAGGAAAGGAGCAACTCCCACTTGTAACCCTCCCACCTCCTTGTTTGGCATCACAGGGACGTCCATGGATGCTCCAAATGCAAATTCCATGTAAGTGAATCCACCGGGATTAAATTTTCAGTGAGTTTGCGGCTCCTCTCCCTTATCTGATCTCCCTCCTTTCCCATCATTTTCCCTGGAGAAGCCACATCAAACTCCACATCTGTGTCCTCTGGAGCCTTTTCCCAGGAGCTCTTCCAGACCCAGGGGCTTTATTTTCTCCCGGTTTTCCATGGATGGGGGTCAGGGATGTGGGAACGGGGGGGCTCACTCTGATGTTCCTCTCTCCTCCCTCTCTCCAGCTCAGCTCCCATGACAGAAGTGTGGGGGGATGGATTACGGAGGTGGAGAGGACCTGGTTCCCTGCGGGAAAGATAAATTCATCTCCAAGTAAGAGGCTCGACAGGGCTGGAATTCAGGAATCCTGGAGGAGCTGGGAGCTGGGTGGCTTATTTGGAATGTTCCAGGGGAAATATATATTCATTTTTTACATATATATATATATATATAAAATTAATATATACATACATACATATAATTAATATATTTATTTATATATTTATATAGTGTATCTATTTTATATATATTGGTTATATATTTTTATATAGAATGAACATATATTATATAATATATAATATATATTATATTATATATTGTATTATATTATATATAGCAGTGTATGGTATATTATAATATATTATAGTATATTGATTTATTAAATTGATTTATTCTACCTGTATATTATATGTATGTATTATCTCTAATATGTAATATAATATACAATGTATAATCTAAAAATGTAATGTATAACTATATATATAATATTATAACAATACATAATGTTACATATATATAATGTTATATAAGAATATATAATACTATGAATACAATATATAACATATTATTTATGACCTATGCTATATTATCTATGACCTATAATATATAGTATTCCATCGAGCTGGAATAATGGAGTGACCCTGGGTTTTAACTCAATTCAGTTGGATTTGGAAGGAAAAAGCCATTCTGGGGCAAGAAATGGTGATTTTTCTTAAAGAAAAAGGGTTGTTGATGGGACTTTGAACTTTTCCTTAGGGGTGTGACCAAATGCTCGATAAACTTTCTTTAAAAAAACAGGTTTTGCTGAAAAAGTCCTGATTAAAAGCTCTTCTTTTATTCTTTGGAAAAGAAGTAAAATGATTCTTAAGTTTCAGGGAAGATTTTGGAGGAGCTAAAGCAAATCTGTGATATTCCCCCCTCCTTTTTGCCTTCTGATAACCCCAAATCCCCGTGATTTGTTCTTGTTTATGGTGGTCTGGTGGTGCTGAGCATCTTTAACCAGCCAGCCCAGCTTTGGGAATTAATGCCAGGGGCATCACTACCCTGGCATCACTCTCCTGGCTGGGTTTGCCAGCTGGGGATGGCTTATTTTTATTTTTGCAATGATTTTTTTATTTACAATTTTAAATTTTTGTTTTCATCTTTATCTTCATATTTTATCTTTTAAATTTTTTTTTTCCTTTATTTTTATTTTCGTGATTACTTTGCCACCAGAACAAGGCTCAGACTCTGATTCTGAGCTCAAGGTCAGGCTCTGGCGCCCGGAGCCAACGTGATAAACCAGCCTGTGAGAACTTGTGACTCCACATGACCCCAGGGCTTGGGGGCCCCGAAAATGGCTTTGTTTTTCAGCCTCGTGACCAACTGCCCCGAGGTCTGATGGGTTTTCCTACACCTCTTTGGGATATTTATGGGGGACACGATCACAGGGAGCTTCTCCCCCTCGTTGTGGATTGAACCCATGGCCAATACCTTCAACAAGGGAGGTCTAGAGGTGCCAAAAGAGCCAAATTTGCCTCAAACTCAGATATTTTTGGGTCCCCCAGCAGCACAGTAGGTTCTTCAACCAGGAAAGCAATTCCTGCTTTCTCCCAGATCCTCAAAATTCCCTCCCCATCCAGCTCAGGAGTCAGTGGGTGGTGCCTGCAGCATCTCCTCCCCTCCCTCCAAACCTCTTCCCAGCGTCTTTCCCGCGTTTTTTCCCCAGAAATGAGCTGCTCCTGCACCTGAAGACCTACAACATCTACTACGAAGGGCAGAACCTGCAGCTGCGGCACCGGGAGGTGAGAATGACCCAGGCAGAGGGAAACCAAGGGAACTGGGCTTGGTTCAGGCTTAGGGAGTCATGGAATCATGGAATGGGTCAGGTTGGGAGGGACCTCAAAGCCCATCCAGTGCCACCCCCTGCCACGGGCAGGGACACCTTCCACTGGCCCAGGTTGCTCCAAGCCCTGTCCAACCTGGCCTTGGATCTTCTCTCTAAACTGGAGAGACTGGATTTGTTGAATGGAGAAGGAATTCCCTGACTGGTCTTCAAGGTCCCTTCCAAACCAAACTATCCCATGATTCCATGTCATGATTCCCTGTCAAATGCTTTACCCAGGCCCAAGCAAATGCTGCTCTTCCCTCATCCCCCAGTGCTGCAGCCTCATCCTGGAAGGCCACCAAGTTTTCCAGGCATGATTTGTCCCAGTGAAGCCATGCTGGCTGTCACCAATCCTTATTTTCCACATGCCTTATCAGAGTTCCCAGGAGACTCTGCCCAGGCACGGGGTGAGACTGGGTGGATTTAGGGCGTCCAAAAAATGCCTTTTAATCACAGAATCACTGAATGGTTTGGGGGTGAAGGGACTTAAAGTTCATAAATTCCAATGCCACGTTCCTGGGTGTTTTTTGGGACGCAGGAGGAAGGGGAGCTCATCGTGGAGGGGCTGCTGAACATCTCCTGGGGGCTGCGGCGCCCGATCCGCCTCCAGATGCAGGACGACAACCAGCGCATCCGCCCGCCCCCCTCCTCCTCCTCCTGGCACTCCGGCTGCAACCTGGGAGCCCACGGGTGAGCTGGGGCTGGGGAGACAGCAACACCCCCAAAACCACCCCCAAAAACCCCCTCAGCCCCCTCAGGGCTGTCGGGATTCGCTGGTTCACCCCCCTCTGCTGTCTCTGGGCAACACCTGCAAGGAGCCAAGTCAGGAATAAAGGAAGGTGGGGGTTTGCTTTGAAAAGTCCCCCCCTGCTTTGCAAAGACCCCCAATTTTTTTGACCTCCCTTTTGCAAAGACCCCCCTCTTTTGCACCCTCAATTTTGCAGAACTCCCCTTTCATAAAGCTCCCCCTTCTGCTACGACCCCTCTTTTGCAGACACTCCCCTTTGCTAAACCACCCCTTTTTGCAAACCCCCCCTTTTTTCAGACTCCCCTCTTTTACTTAAATCCTCCTTTTTTCACCCCCCTTTTTGCAACCCCCCCTTTTTACAAACCACCCTTTTTTGCAAATCTCCCACTTTTTTCACCCCCTCTTTTTTTAAAAACCCCTTCTTTTACTAAACACCCTTTTTACACCCCTTTTTTTTGCACCCCTCTTTTTGCAAAGACCCCTCTCTTTCACCAAGATCCCCCATTCAGTTTCAAAAGGAAACAAATCCCCCCGTTTTTCAACTCCTCCCTTTCTACAGCCCCCAATTTTTGCAAATCTACCACTTTTTACACCCCTCTTTTTTTCAAGCCCTCTTTTGCAAACACCCCCTTCTGCCAAAATCCCCCTTCTTGCAATGCCCCCTTCTTTTCAAAGACCTCCCTCTTTTGACGAAACCCCTTTTTTGTAGCCCCCCTTCTA